TATTGTAATTGCGAGCGTGCCAACAAGGATCAATTAGTCCTTATAGAAAATTAATTGCCAACCAATTATCAGACGATTGTGTTTTAGTTCTTTCAGCCTCAATGAAGAGGACTTTTACTGGTGGCTTGACTTTGGAGAATTAAACAGATAACAATGAATTGAAGAACAGTCGAAGTATTTTATTAAGATGAAAAGACTTATAATGATCCAAACTCAGCCTCGTAGAGGTTTACAACAACTCTACTTGGAACTACTCCTATGAAACGAAGTGTAGTGCAGGAATTTTAAAGTACAATAATGTAAAGAACTGTAAATGTAAAAAAACTGTAAATGTAAAGCTGGAAAGGAAAATAAGTATAAAGGACTGGTTTTTTGGATCTGAGTCTGGGGGCTTTTTATGGGGCCTTCTCTACTATTTATATTGCTCCAGGATGACCATCGAATTACATTTCGAACCGTCGAACTGCTCCTCCATGATCATCGATCATTTTGCCCCAATATTAGCTCCATTACGCCATTATTTGCAGTTAAGCTTCCTTCCTAAATTTGAATATGAAATGCGAGTAACCGTTGAAGCCACGTCACTTTGTATCTCTTTGTTGATCTACTGCTACTCAGATCTCTTAATAACCAATACTAACTGCCACGTGTACGATCAGGATCGAGGACCTGAATAGTCTTCTTATATTACCCTTATTTCGCCACGCATCGAATTGTAATTGGCTTATACAAAATATGTAGCCAACATCACCCCCCGCACTAATATACCCAATACTTGGTGATACTAGTGGATCAAAGTCTTTTCCCACGTCTTAGAACGTGCATGGTTTCCAGAAATGCAACTGTCATTTATCATCTGCATTAAACTCCCCTTTAATCTTTTGAACACCTCCACCACCTTAGTATTCGAATAGACTGGTACACTTTTTATGGCCGAATCAATTATTCCCTTTATTGATCGAGTACACGAAGAGTCATATGATGATGTCGTTCCTCCTCGAAAGAACCTTCATGCATTAATTAGCCACCTTTACCCACCCTTCTATATTCAGGTCATGGATGCCTTTACAGATTATCAACCCTTGGACTTCGAATATATTGCCCTTAATCCTTCGATTCAGAAACTTATAAATATGGACATGGGAAGGTCTTTTTCTAACTCATCCTCAGACTACGAACAAACTGCTCTCAATCCTTTGATTCAGAAAGTTACAAATATGGACATGGGAAGTTTTCCTTCACAACCCTCTGCATGGGATAAGGCTGCAACTTCTTCCTCTTCTGGGGCTTCTGACTGGACAAACTGGTCAAAACCCGAGGCCTGTGATTTAAGGGAGCGAATCAGCCATCTCTTTGTTAAGTTTACTGACCCTTTAGAATTTCCTTTCTATGCGCGAAGCTTGGTGGTCTATCCTTACGTGCCCATTGACCACCGACGCAGTTTGGAGGAGAATCTGCTTGTGGCATGGTATACATCTTCCATGCCTACAAAGACAGTGCATGTTGCTCGATGCCTAGAAGAGGCACAAGGGTACAATCCATCATTCTTAGCCCAGAAGGCGAAGATTTGTTCTTCTGACTAGCTCGATTATATCAATGCCTTTGTTCCTTCTGCCCTTGCTTCACCTCCTGAGATAGAAGCATCCACACCTTCTCTTCCGCCAAGTCCTTGCTGGATAGAGAAACTGAGACTTGCCCTCTCCTCGGATAAGGTCTTTCCACCTTACAAACCTCTACCTTCCCCTATTCCGACTGAGCGGAAGCAAGCTCAACTTTTGCTCGCAGCTTTCTCCACTTGCCCTTCAATGTTCTTGAGGACGAAGTTCCTCTTAAGAACCTTCGATGGACTTGTGATATTCTGACTCGGGGTCACGTCCTCAACCCCCTCGCCCAAGCAGAGCTTCACATGTTTTTGGACCAACTTCTATTGCTTCTCCACTAGCATCGGACCTTTGTGACTACCACACAATCTTTAGACCAACTTTCGTCCCTTCGAATTCATGCCCAGTACGAAGCAGAAAACTTTATTGAAGAATTCAATGATTTCAAGAATAAAGATTCTGCATACTGGGATGACTTGGATATAGACGAATTGGAACAAGGATTGAGAGAAACAGCTTTCGAAATAAAGGCTGAAGAGCTCTTTTACGAAGTGAGAGCACATCAACTCATGCAACCAATGTTAGAAGAAATAGAGGACAGAATAAAGAAAGAACAGAAATTCATTGATCATAGTTGGACTAAATTTCATGATCTTGTTATTTATTCCATTCCCTACTTTTATGAGCTTCAGTTTGTACCCAAATAGGGCCATTCGATGTAACTGCTTTTGCTTTAATACTACTAAGACTTGTCTTTGTTTGATATGGTTTGATCTTGTCTCCATTTGTCTTTAAAAGCAATTTCAGAGCTTCGAACTGAACAATCTTTTCCTTCGAACCTGGATTCAATCGTTTTAAATGACTATTAACAAAACGACCATGAACTTTTTCAATTTATGGAATGCAGTAGATAGTTTTTTTGTTATTTTTCCATTTAGGATCCATGCTTCGAATCTAACAATCTTACTCTTCAAAACTTGTTTCAATCACAACCAACATATGGTCAATGATTTAGTATGATCAATCAGTTTTAAATTGATCTTTTTGTCTTGAACAACAGTCCATATTTTAAAAATATGGAAGCTCCTTTTGAGGGCTGCACTGTTTTAGTTCAAAAAGACAACTTTTCTGAATATATATAAACCAACTATTGGTTTCGATGTTTCGAATGCCAATTTCCATTCCTAAGGGATTTCTAGCTTTACTTCGAAGAACATCACTTTCATTGAGAAACCTAAAACAGGTCTTTAATCCCTTTGAAGTAAACAAATACTTGAGCATTCTTACATCTATTGAGTACGGAATGTGCTTCGAAGCCGGCTTCTTAGTTTCGAAGCCGTTGTTATTGGACTTTTGGTGCCAAAATTTGGTGTGTTATGTTTTGAACACCAATTCCCATCCTCACAGGGTCTCAAGTTTCACTTCGAAGGTCATTGTTTTCATTAAGAAGCCTAAAACAAGTCTTTAATCCCCTTCGAAGTAAATGAATACTTGAGTATTCTTACATCCTTAAGCATGGAATGTGCTTCGAAGCTGGCTTCTTAGTTTCGAAGCCGTTGTTATTTGACTTTTGGCGCCAAAATCTAGCTTCGAAGCCAAACATTCTGCTTCGAAGCTGGTATTAACATCTGGGATGTGTTTTTTCCCTCCAAGAGTATCAATATTGAAAGAAATTCTTCGTATTCGTACTTTTAGTACTTAACGAATTTACGCGATGTATCTTTCAGATACAAAGGCTTTTGAAACCCTTTTATTCCACATTCTGAAATCACTTGCTCGCTCAACATACAAACCCTTTACCTCTATTCGTCTCTCACTTCTTTCTACTCCCTTTCCCAGCTTCGTCCTTTAAGAAATCGTTCTATCGATGGCTTCCTCCTCATTGAAAGTGCCAGTTATAGAGCGTGTGAGCCCATCTGTAGCCCGAAAAGGCTCATTGATGCAGAATGTGAAAAGTACAAAGCTGGGGAGAAAAGTGCCATTGACGGACGCATCTTCATTCCTCGTCATCATGTGCAACAAGACTATGTGCTTGGCCCCATATTCAAGGAGATTCCTATTGAGCTTCCAGCTCTATACCCTCGTTTGGAAGACCATTGTCTTCTTTACGAAGGTGGCCTTGACTGGAGGAACTGGAAGACGAACCGCCCTCACCGATGCTGGCCCACGGTGAGACCGGAGTGGCAAGAATGGTATGATCGAGTTGTCCCTAGTAGGACCCTGGACCTTCAAGAACTCTGCCTCCTCGATGCCCTCCGATTATCCAGGTTAACCATCTCAAAGGACCCCTTTTTAATTCCTACTGCTCTGTGCTTTTGGAATTCTGTTTTTAATTTCTTCCAATTCAAAAGTGGGATGATGGCCCCTACTGTGCTTGACATTTGCCATCTTTTAGGATTATCTCCCATTGGAACTTCCATTGGACCAGATTATCCTGACCTAGCAGTCCTTTTTTCCCTCCGCCATCTTTTAGGATTATCTCTCATTGGAACTCCCATTGGACCAGATTATCCTGACCTAGCAGTCCCTTTTTCCCTCCCCTCTCTTAACTTATCCTATAGTGATTTTGTCACGGTTGAGAATAGAAAGGAGGGTCTTGTGACCGATAAGGAATTCTTCTCTTTCTTATTATATTGGCTTTGCAAGTTCTTTTTCTGCACCTCCTCTCAAAGAATTATGCCTGAATTTGCCCCTCTTGCCAAAGCCCTTGTTTTACAGAAGAGGGTGGTTTTAGCCCCATACGTTCTAGGTCACGTATATAGAGCCTGCTCTCTTTTCTGTGAGAAACCCTTAGATGTCAATCAAGGGGGGCCGATTTGGATTCTTCAGCTTTGGCTTTTTGCTTATTTCCCTGAGTTACAATCCAAATGCCTTAAATTTTTTGAACCAGACCCTCCTACTCATGGCATGAGACTAGCCAATGCTTATCTTTATCCTTCTACTTTTGCTTTTTACTTCTCTTTCTTCCACTAACTTTCAGCTTCTCCTCTTTCCTACTGCTTTCGTTCCTTCGAACCCACTACTATTGGCCCACTTTGGTTGAAGAATTTCCTAAGTGATAGGCTCTGTGCTTCACCTGCTCACAAAGATATATGGGCCTCCATTTTAATCCCTAGAGAATTATTCGTTGGGACCATGAACCCCAGAGCTTACAAATGCATTGCTGAGCCCGATTGTCCTGCACAATTTGCTAGATAATTTGGCTTCACTCAGGGAGTCCCAATACCTCTCTGTAATAACACCAATCTAAGTCTTACCACAAGGGATGTGAAAGTTCGAAGGTCCATATTAGAAGAGGCAACTTTCAAATTTATACAGGACTTGATCGATTTTGAGTATATCTCCTTCCTTCCCCAAGGTAACATTTTGAAGAGATACCAAAATTGGTGGGTGACCAATATGGAAGTGCACCTGGCCATTTTCCCTCAAGACCTACTGACGGTGTTGGATGTGTCCAAGCCCAACGGAGCTGGAGTTGCTACTTCTTCCACTGTTCTGACCACTCCAGTTCCTGTGCCTGCCTCCACACAATCTGCTCCTGTTGTTTCAACTCCTTCTAGAGTTACTCGGGCCACCTCAGAAGCATTCTCCATGCTGTATTCTGGCACTTCATTCCTAACAGATTCTTTCGAATGGTCTTTTCTGACTGGCTTTTCAACCAAAAATGTTTGTTCGGCCATGAAGGCTTCGAAAATTTCTTCCTCAACCATTACTTTCTTTTGGCCTAAGCCAACTTCTTTCTCTGTCTTGCTATCACTCTCCATCAATGCCTTCTCCAATCCTGCTCTGACCACTCCAGTTCCTGTGCGTGCCTCCACACAATCTGCTCCTGTTGCTTCAACTCCTCCTAGAGTTACTCGGGCCACCTCAGAAGCATTGTCCATGCTGTATTCTGGCACTTCATTCCTAACAGATTCTTTCGAATGGTCTTTTCTGACTGGCTTTTCAACCAAAAATGTTTGTTCGGCTATGAAGGCTTCGAACATTTATTCTTCAACCATTTCTTTCTTTTGGCCTAAGCCAACTTCTTTCTCTGCCTCGCTATCACTTTCCATCAATACCTTCTCTAATCCTGCTGGACTGGATTTCTCTCTAGCTTTTAGTTCAGAATGAACTTTGGTCAACTGTTCTCCACTACAACCTATTTTGCTTTGTGGAGTTGGTTTTGGAATATGGTCTGACTTTGGATTCTTCTTTCCTTCTGTCTAGACCAATGAAGAGCTCTCTCCACTCTCTTTCAAGTCTTGCTGGTACTAAGTGTACCGACGTTGAATTTTCCTCCTTTGTGATCTAGAAATTACAGGGACTATGTCTGGTTCTTTTGTTTTTGGGTGTTTAAGCAACACCCAATTGTTGGGAGCCACCAAAGGAGGTTTGACCATCCTGCTTTGGTTTCCAATTACCTCTCTTTGAGTAAACACTTCCCTAGGTTTGTTTTGTATCACAAACCAATCTGGGACCCCAGGTACCCACGAACTTACTGACCCAACTGTTGAACTGCTTCTTTCTTCCTTCAAAGCTACCTTCGAAGCTGTCTATGAAGGCCACTGCTTGGGCCTGACTTCATGCTTTGGGCCTAACTCAGACCTTCATGAAGGTGTTCACTTTCTGTCCTACGTGAAATTGATCTATGGGGCCAATCCTTGGCTTTGATCCCATAAACTGAACTCACTCCAGTCTCCTTTCAGAATGACTACTCTCCATCCTATAATAATTAGGTGATCTGGATTCATACAAAGGCCTCTTGCCTTTAAAATGCATTCTATCGGCCGTTGGTTCAACTATCAATGGTTGCTGCCTAACACCAGATGGATATGCCCTTTTATTGTAAGTATTGGTTGGTTTAGGACGTCTTTGCACATCCTTGTAGTACTGCTTCCCATCAATTGGAAGCCCTTTCAACCACTTGTAATTTAGTTTGCACCTGGAACACATCCTTTGCATTACAGTTGTTTCTAAGGAATCGTCATCCAGTGCTTCCTTATCAAAATCTTCCCCCTGGTGTGAGAAATCTTGTCCAATAACTGGTAGATTTCCAGTGTCTCTCTTGGTAGCTGTCTGGTTGGCCACATGCATCTGCATATTGACTTCTTTCAATTCTTTTAAAGACAGGTTCTGAAGGTCTGGCACAAAGACATTGGCTGCTGCCTCCCCAATTTCTGGAAATGGATTACTGTTGATCCCCATAGCCTTTTCAGCTTTGGCTGGGAATAGCAAACTCCCTTTCCAAATTTGTTCTTGGATCCTGTCTCGAAAAACAACACAGTTTTTAGTCAAGTGAGACCAAGAATTATGCCATTTACAATATACTTTCCCTTTAAGTTCATCAAGAGATGGAATTTTAACCCATTTTGGTAACTTAAGGAAAGTGGCCGCAAGCAAATGATCAAAGATGTCATCTACCTTAGTTAAATCGAAAGAGTATTTCCTGTGAAGGTCTTTCTTTTTAAATTGCTGGTCAATTGTTGTATCTTTATGAATCAATGCTTCACAGATCACAGATTCTTTCTCCATAATCTCTACTGTATCAATCTCATAGTTAGGATCTTTGTAGTATGTCTTGTATGATGCATTATTTCGATCTTGCTCCTTTTCTAGTAATGCTTCATATCTAGACACTTTGTAAGTTAGTTCCATTAAGTCCCTGAATTTCGTTGAGTCAAACTTCTTTCGAAGCCTAAACTCTAAACCATTTTGAGTCATTCTTACGAATTCTAGCTCTGGCAAAATGATTCTACATTTATTTCGAACCCTTTTAAATCTGGCAATAAACTGAGTAGCCTTCTCTTCAGGCTTTTGACTCAACCTTGCCAGGTCTGCCATGGAAACCTCTGGCTCCGATTGGAAGAATTGGGCATGAAATGCCTCTTCCATTTGTTGCCAAGTTTGGATTGAGCCAGGTGTAAGGTTAATGTACCATACAAATGCTCCCCTAGTTAGAGAATTTGGGAACAGCCTCAGCTTCATAAAATCATTATTAGTGAATTCGCCGCATTGAGCAGCGAACCTAGCGATATGCTCTACTGTTGACTGGTTTCCATTCCCATAAAAAAGGGTGAAATCTGGTATCCTAAAACCTCTTGGGTATTCATGTACCCTATCTATCCATCCTGGATAGGGTTTTCTGTATACAGGAGTCTGGACCCCCCAAGCAATTGGTCCACACATCTCCCTAATGATGTCAGTAATTTAGTCCCTAGGGACCATATTTTGTGCCTGCTGAATCACCGCTAGAGGAACAAATACAGGATTTGGTGGACAAACTTGTGTTTGTGGTTCTCTTGGTCTATAAGGTGGCATGTTTGAGACTGGTTGTCCCTGTGGTGCAGGTTGCTGTTGGGGGTGTGGGTAACCCCTTTGAATTTGTCCTACGAAAGAACCTGCGAAAGGTGCTGGAACTGGTGTTGTGTCTCTTCCATTTGTAGGAAAACCTTCCAACCCCCCTGGTATTTATTCGAATAAGGGATTAGTGAACCCCTTTGTGCCAGGCATGGCTTCGAACATGGGATTTGGAACCATTCTTATGCCATTTTCTTGTACTAGACCAGTTCCACCAAATTGCATGGCTTCACTGTTAAGTACTAAGACATTTTGACCTACTACAAGCCTTGGAACAGGTTCGTACCAAGACTGAGGTGATGGTCTTTCATGGTTCTGATTACTAGTTTGATCATTAGAATGTCCATTAACTTGCATAGGCTGTTTATCTCTAGCCAATATTTGCTAAGGGATCTTCGAAATTTCCTCTATGTGTCTTACGTTTGTTAGTTGGTGGTTATTCATTCGATCCAAAAAGGATGTTGCCCACTTTTCCATTGTGTTCATTAATTGTTGTCCCATTGCATCTATTAAGCCACCCCATGGATTCATTGGCTGAGTAGATGGGACAGTGGATGGTCCAATTCCTTGGTCTCGTCCAATATCACGAACAAATGGTATTTGTTCTGAAGTACTGGTCTGGGCAGTTAGACGCATGTGTACTGCAGCTACACTAACAAACACAAAGATTACAAGTTACCTGGATTAACCAAACAGCATTTTCACTATATAGTGCATTGTTAATGAACCAGCTTGCCAGCTGATCCCATTCACTTTGCTTCCTTCCATATATGGACACCCTGTACTCCGCCAACTGCAAATCAGAGCACGGCAGATGTTAGACTCTCCTAGAAAAAATCATCTCTTCTTTAAAATAATAATTAGGAAACATAACACACTATAACTAAAGCAGGTAAATCACCTCTGCTATCAATAATTCTAGTTCAACAATACGTAATTTTGGGGAAGTAGTAGCGATTTAACAAAGGCCAATCAGCATGATTATAACATCATGCTGGGCATGCACTTTTAAATGCAATTGGTCTTCTGTGTAGTGGTTGTGAGATGAGCTGTTGGAATATGTCTCAAATTCCCTTGAAGTTGGGTTTAGTAGATATTATTATTCCTCATCTACCAATAAAGTTAACTACAACTCTATAAATAGGTAACCAGAGAGACATGGAATTTATTGCTGTAAGTTGGAATTTATTCCAGAACTTGTGGAAAATTTTAAATCATGTAAATAATTCAATCAACACAATCATGTTCATGCTACAAATTCTTAAGTTTAGTGTCTTCTATACTTTTTTAATAATTAAAATTTTATTAGAACGGTTTAGTAGTTTTTTCATAACTGGTGTACTTAACTATACTATTAAAAAGTGAATAATTGGTTAATGTACATAATACTAGTACTCGTTTGGACTTTCAATTCACTTGTTTCATTGATCTGAATTTTCTTTTTTAAAACTTACACTAAATTGTTAATTCTCCTTCAAAATTAGAAAATTAATGTAAAAGGAAATAAATGTTTATATTAGGTGAGGTTCAACTGTCCAATGCGGAAAGAAAAATAGCATGCAGCTGATATGTTCCCAAATGGGAACTCAGAAAATGGAGAACTTAAGTGCATTCAAAGCTATGGCCTTGGTACATATACACACACATATATCTTACTCAAGTAAAGAAGGTACAATCTATACAGAAGTAAGAGCTTCTTTAAAATATGTGGAACAGAATCCAACCAAGTCCAAAAAAAGACTTGAAGAGGATAGCAGCATTGTTGTCTTGCATCATTCATGACAAATAGTCTTTATTCCTCAATTCAATAGGCCTGGATAGGCACTATGCAAGTCTTCTACAATTGGCCCAACTAAGTTGTGTCTAGCTTTAGTAACTGTTCTAATTATGGCATTCTAAATATTAACTAGTAGAAAATAGTAAAACCAATCATCGAACCAAGCCAACTTGGTTCTCTCTATAATCTCTCCTCTTTGTCTCCTTCACTTCCACTCTTCCTCAGCTACTACACATAATGAATAGTCAGTGATCTTGCATTTCCAGCAATCACAAATCACAAATATAATATAATTTTGTAGTTATTGTTTATTGAATTATATATGTTTGGCTAAGCATGATTAGAAATTTACGACTACACAGATGCTCTATAGAGTCTTGTTTTCTTTGGGACATTTGACTTGTTTCTTATAATTTTCATCATAATCATATTCCTTCATTTTGTAAGGAATCAAAGACTTTAGAAACTTATTAAAATGGTTACCTAAACAGAGGTATGTGTTCAGGAATTTTTTTAAAACAGTTTGGCAAATGGGTTTTCTTTATTTTAGAACAAAAATCAGTTTTCAATAACAATACCCAAGTAGACTGTGTTTGGCAGACTTTTAAAAACAATTTTTTCTTCTCGGAGTTGCGAATTAACAAGAAAAATGCACGCTTAGTTTAGTCACCATAGAATGATAGATTGGGTATGGACCTAGCTTTGACATTATTGCACCAAGTCCCTTTGATTCTAACCTACTACTTCAAGATTGGTAAACAAGAGTTTGGCTCATTCTAAGAACTGTTTAGAAAACTGAATTTAAAAATAACTAGTAGGAAAGACGACAATGTAAAAGTAAAATTAAGGAGCGTGGTTTTTGTTGGAAATTTGAACTCCTGAACATAGGTGGAAGAAAACACAAACCAAGAGTAAAAAAAGTGGAGAAATTATGTGGTTTGTCAATATCTTGTCTATGCTTCTGTCCACAGTCGAGAGAGATTATCAGCTATAACCGTAGAGATTTTTCAAATATGTGACAAAAAAAATCCTATTATCAGAAACCAATACCTGAGCTGTGAAACATTCTCTGTTTTCCTACTTAAGAGTGTTGTCGTTTGGCTAGAACTTTTTTAATTGACTTTTTTGAGTTGGAATTTTTTTAGCTTGGAAATAAAAAGTTTGTTTTGGTTGGCTTTTTTGACTTTTGTGAAACAAAAGTGAAATGATTATAATTTAAATGTGACATTTTATTTTATTGGTTTATTTTGTTTATTTTATCTTTTATACATTTTTAGTACCAACTTTTTTTGCCAAACGATTAGTAAATCTTCAAACTACACCTTGATGTCCTTAAGCATCCTACTTACTAGCATTTTTTCCTTTTTTGGTCTCCCCTATGATATACAAATAATCTCAATCTCTCTAACCACTACCACTGGCCTCTTCTTTATAGGAAAAATCCCATAAATCCTTGCACATATTGGATACCCTACTGAGTTTTGGACCCTACAACCTGACCCAAACACATTTAGTAGCCCAATAATTGTCTGGGTCAGCAAAATACAAAACACATACCCAACAGATTTAGCATCACTTATGCTTTCCTTTTGGCGGTGTTGTTTGCTATATGGGTTATTGGGGACTATATTCAATGATTAAATTCCCCATGACTAAGAGAATATGGTTCCTTGCTTGGTTATAGTATGCGTCATCATCCAGTTATTCGCAACTTGGCACTTAATGGATCATGTTAAAAATTTGAAGAGTGTCTTAGGAACTCTGTGTAGGTTACATAATAGGAATGTGAATAATTTTTGGTGGAGCTTAATTAGTTGTTAAATTAAATTCGGATCATGTCGCAATTAATTCTATTTTCATTTTTGTTCATCCATTTTATAATTCTGCATTCTTTTCTTTAATTTATTTTAGCTTGATCCGTGATTTAACTCTTGCAGAAAACCTAACAACGTTGAGGAGATCTTGAAAATATCAATCAAACCTGGTTGGAAAAAGGGCACAAGAATCACTTTCCCTGAGAAGGGCAGCCAAGAGCAGCCCAGGATCACCCCTGGAGATCTTATATTTGTAGTAGACGAGAAACCTCATGCTGTTTTCAATAGGGATGGAAATGATCTGATTGTCAATCAGAGCATATCTTTGTTGGAGGCTCTTACAGGGAAGACTCTTGATCTAACTACCCTTGATGGAAGGAATATAACTGTCCTGATTACGGATATTATCAAACCGAGCCATGAAGTGGTGATCCCAAATGAAGGAATGCCCATGTCAAAAGAACCCGGAAAGAAAGGAAACTTGAGGATTAAGTTTGATGTTAAATTCCCGACAAGCCTCGCTGAAGAACAAAAATCTGATCTGAAGAGGGTGCTGGGAGGGAATGAGGGTTGAAGATTATCATTAACACTGACAGTTTAAGTGCAATTGGATGTAAATATGTAACATATTCATCATTATGGAGAAAAATATGTGCATAGTAGGAATATAGATTCAAGTGTTATTGGCTTTGTGAAAAACAAAGCTCGTTTAGCTACTTAGCCACAGGGTAGTAACTTTGATCTTCCATGTGAAATTTGTAAGTAATTATTGATGGTCCTTGCATTTGGATTAAAATGATAAAAAGTTGTGTTCCTTTTGTTTGTTGTAATTATTCTTTGTACAGAACTCTGCGCTAGATACTGTTAATGTATGTATTTAGTTTTGGTAACAGTGTGGGTTGATGCAATCAGTTAAGCGCTCTCTATCTTTATGTTGTAGTTTTGAGGTTTGAATTGAACTTGCATTGGTTGAGATTTTAGTTTGTCAGACTACGTGGATAAAGTTGATTTTCGCGTTATGACAAGGTCAAGCCTTCTCATTTTATGAACACTTTTCTGAGTATTTTATTTTTTGATTCATACTTTTCTGAGTATTTTAAACTGATGAAAACACTTACAATGTTGGGGGTTTATAAGGACAGAACAGAATAGGTACACAACTTTATGACCAACAGGTGGATCGCAGGACTTTTAAAAAGTTTAGATTCACCTGATCAGAAGAGTGATGGGTGTGCCTACTGTCCTTACAGGATGTGTATGCAAACACTTTATTCTCTACAAGTCTTTATTCAAGGGAATACTTTACGTAGTCATTTATCACGGTTCTCTCATTTTCAATGTGGAACAAGTTTCTCAAATCTTCTTTGGAAGAAGCTACTAGGTTTAAAAACAACCAAAACCAAACTAATTTTTATTCGAAAATTCTCATCTAGAGAGGGGAGGCTACATGAATCAATCTTAACAAAACAAAGCAATACAATCTTTATTTCTAGATTTGATACATCCAGTTTAGTCTAAATTGACGATGATCATATATGTATTATGATCATTTCTTATTCTGCTCCAATCATGCCACGTGTAGCTAGCGAGTATCATCATGATTCTTGTAGAATGTAGATGAAGGTGAAGATGATTGTTACAATTTTTTAAGAACAATAATGGTAAGCCCTGTTTTTCTCAATCTTATTCTGAAGCTCTTCCTTTCTGACTCCTGTAACCTTGTCAACTACTCTCCCTTTCTTTATTAATATGAATGTCGGCATTGCCTGCACCCCATATTCTTGAGACACATCCTGCAATTCATTCATTCATACCTATTAGCAGCACTTCATTTTTCAGAGAGAGAGAGAGAGAGAGAGAGAGAGAGAGAGAGGCAATTTAAAGAGAAATACCATTAACTCATCCACATCTATCTTGATGAACTCAACTTCTGTGTATTTAGCAGCAAACTCATCAATGGCTGGTTCCATGAAGCGACAAGGCACACACCATGAGGCAGTGAAGTAAATAACCATCTTCATTTCAAAAAAAAACCCCCCAAAAATAAAGAGATTAGCAGACCCAAAAACAAGATTTGATTGTCAATTTCAGATGAAAAAAAAAAAAAAGAGAAGTTGAATGGGTGGTTAATTACCAGTTTGGAAGTTGCTTTGGAGGCTTCAAAATGGGTTTTCCATTTTGATGGGGAATGGAATGCAAGAACTTGAGAAGTTCTCATTGATGAAGTCTGCATCGACCCCAATGACGACGTCGACGACGATCTTCTAACATGCTGCATTGTAGAAGGAAATTGAAACTTTGAACGAAGCTCTCTCTTGTTGTTGTCACTGAATTTGATCTTTTGACAAAAGGTTTTTGGCTTGGAATTTGATAGTTGGTGGGAAAGCTCTTTATATAGAATTGATGATAGTGGAGAGTAGAGAAGTTTTAAATGTGAACTGTTTTTAAAATATGAAGTGGAGCACAGGATTCTTGTCATTGACATTGGTCCTTTTATTTTTTAACGGTTGAAGTTTAATTTGGAGTGTCTCTCCAAATTTATATTAAAACAAAATGATATAAACAAAAGTGACAAGGTGCTCTTCTATAAAGGTTTACACACCTAAATGTTAAGTTACGTGTGTTTTTGCATTAAAAAATTATGGAAGTGTTTTTAAGAGAGTTGTTATTGATTTTGCTATTGAAGTGCCTTCCAATTGACAACACGACTATACAGGTACTAATCTTCATTTTTATCGTTTTCAATCTCAGAAATCACAAGTTTTATCGAATATCTATTGTTCTCAAACCTTGTATGATCATTAAAGGTATTTATTTTTTAGACTGACCAAATATCAACCTTGCAACTGGAACTCCCTACGAGAATGGTGTTTTCCGCATGAAATTGATATTGTCTCATGACTTCCCGCATTCCCCTCCCAAAGGTTTGTCGAGGCTTATGAGTTAAGAGAATTTATTTCACCAAAGGTTGTGACATTTGTCTTTCCTTTGGCCTGTAAGTAGTTTAAATTGATTGAGGTGTGAACTTAAAGAAAAATTATATATTATATGTTGCAGGACTGCCATTTTTGACATGATTTTTACTCATGTAGTGTGATCATATACCATTCATAACCTGTCTTTTGTTTCTTTCAATCTAATCTTTCTATATTTCGTTCTTTTTTCCCTTTCTCATTCTTATCTCTATTTTTTTGATGGTCAGTAACCTTTCTATATTTCATACTTCACTACTCACAACTTGATGATTCTTTGTTTGCCTGCGTCTTTAGATCCGATGTATATATAGTTGTGTGATGATTAGTTTACCGTGCGGATCTATATATAGTTTTTGCATCCCCCAGCCCTTCTGTGACTGGTGGCAGAATGGTATCGTTATCACTGTCTCCCAGTGTATATGGCAGTGGAATTTCATATATTTTCTGAATATTGCTTGCTTGGCTTCAAGAATTTTGTTAATGTTTTGGCCATAGTTGGTGGAGTGAAGATTTGAAAAGGATTTAAAAGGGTAAATTACACTGACCTCCCATCATGAAGGTAGGTTATTTAAAAGGGTAAATTACACTGACCTCCCCTGAGGTTTATGACAATTATAGAAGCCTCTCTTGACGTTTCTAAAAAAACACTAACCTCCCTTCAGGTTCAATTTTGAATTTCACTTTTCCCATCTGTTAGTTGTCTGTTAATAGTACTAACAGATGTTGATCAGATCATCATAAATTTTCATGTCATTCCCAATTTTGCCCTTATTTATGTATGTAGACATAAATAACCTTAACTTTATAGTAAATGACAAAAATACAAAAAATGTGGATGAGAACTGCCTTTAAAGAAAGCAGCGGTCATTATGTGGTTGCTTTTCTTCGGTCCTTAATTTTGTTCTAGATTCAACACTTGTTTTAGGACTAAATCCCCTTCGGTCCTAAAACAGGCACACAAGGTAGCGATGTTGTATCGGTAGCTTTTCCTAGAACACATTGAGCTGAACACTTGAATTATTTGACCGACCAAGGTGTCATCTGCCATGTTTGGTCCTTAATCAGCTATTGTGTTTCCTATATTGGCCTTACTTCCTATAGTTGTGAAGTTTTCCTCATCATTGGAAATGCGTAGTTAAGATGGAGTTTTGGTTAACTTGTCATGAAGAAGATATAAATGGAACAGTGCTAAACATTACTCTTGGTTAGCAGCCATGTCAGCAAGAGTTGAATTGTGAAATTTCCAATGTTTGGTTGCCCAAAAAAAAAAAAATCCATTTCTTATATCCATTGGATAAGAACTTAACAGTCTAATAACTTTGTTGATTCATGTCTGAACATTTGAATAAAAATAATAAGGCAGACAGTATATGTGCATAGGTCATACCTCTCTAGGATGTATGATAGTTTTGTTCTTCTTCACAAATGGTGAGCATGTCTCTTATTGAACTGAAAAAATAAGCAATGCAACAATAAGCAAAACTACAGGTGAATAGTTTGTGAACATAATAACTAACAATTTCTTAATTTTTTTTAAAAAAAAAAAAAAAAATAGAAAATTGGCCTCAGTACTTATGGAATCAATTCCAGGTACCACCAAATTAAAAAGTATTCAGATTTTTCCCCATTGATGTCTGTGAACAAAGTGGTGAATTTTCTAATGCAGATCAACTTTGTTCTAAATGTGGACTCAATTCATCAAAAAATCCCCAAAAATTAAAAATTAAAATAAAAGAAGAACTTAATCTCTTGCGGACCAAAATTTTCAAGGAGCACATTGCAAATTTTGTTCCAAAAATTACAAAAAGCCTTTATAGCACCATTACTCTGCATCTTACATATAGGTCCTGTTTGATAAAGTTGTGGGAAAGTACTTATAACTTATGCCTTAACAGCTTATAGTTTATAATTATGAACATAAGCTGATTTCTGACTTATAAATTAAGCTTCTCCTGTCACACTCAAAGGATAAGCTGATTTCTGACTTACAAAAAGGTATAAGCTGCATTGTTAAGCTAAACCAAGCACGTCAAAATAACTTAAATTAAGCTAAAAAAAAATTGTACCAAATAGGACCATAATGCGCTCGTGTATATATGTACAGACAAAGAAAAATAAAATTAGATACATATAAAAACATACAAACCAAATAGAGAGAGAGAGAAAGAGAATGAGAGAGATTACCAGCAAGTGGATTTTGGGACCTCCGAACTAAAGAGGCCTCGAACTGAAGAATCTCGGGAGCAGCCTTCTCGGTCCGCCATGCCCACTTCAAGAGCTCCGCATTGGTAGTTGAAATCAGCGACTCATAGTTGAATTTTGGGATCTGTTGATTTTGTTCGATCAACAAGAAAATAAATTAGAGTAGTACTCCAATTATACTGAATCAATACCTCTAATTCAGCGAAACCCTATCGTTCATGAACCAGAAAAGTATATATGTGAGGTGATGTATGGTCGGTAGATATAGAGATTGAGAGAGCGAGAGATGGAGAGAGACATTTATGTCGGCGTTCTTCAGACTATGATCAGTGAGAGAGAAAGAGAGCGAGCAATGTCCAGATTTGGCTAGGGCAAATATAAATCAAAGAAAATAGGAGAAATAAATGGGGCAAATATAATATTTTTTGCCACGGCTAAACAGACGGTGGCAAAAAAAATAGACAAAAGTCAATTTTCTAGTAGTCTTTGCTGTTTTTTTCTTCCATAAATCATCTTTTTCCAGTACTCATCTTCAACGTTTGTTATGAAAGATGCATTATGATCTGGACCATACCTCTCAACTGCATAACTTGCTGGTGGAGGCAACAATTTCTCAAGAATTTCCTTGTTTACAACTTCGAATGAAATCACCACTTCAATTTGTCTGTTCTCCATTATGGTCTTGCACTGCATCCAAAAACGCACTTCGATGATTAGCTATCCTCAGTTTCAGATTGTCTAGCTGTTTGGGCTTCACACTTTTCAAGACACTCCTGTCTTGTGTTCCAGTCACTGCAAACAAAATTTTTTTTTTTATCACAATCTTCTGAACGAGTGAAATCCATATGAACCCGGAGAAACACTTGTTCAACAAATCCTTATGAATTTGTAGACACACGCATGTAGAGAGTATCAGATGACAACTTTTAACCTTCACCATAGAAAGGAAAAAGACTAGACTCTCATCACTCACTCACTGTTTTTTGATTGGTCCAAATTTTATTTTATTTTATTTTATTTTTTTTTTTAGGCTTGGTCTCATGCCTCCCCACGTGGAGGTAAGGGTGCTGGGGTCACCCCTCACTGGGGTCCTAGCACTGCTGCCATAAAAAACTCAATTTTTGTTTTGTTCTTTTTCTTTTGGACCATCCGATCATATACTCTTAACTCGCAAAAATTGAGAAAAAATAAGGACTCAATTATATACATATATATATATATATATCAAATCCTAAATGTTGATCAAAAAAACTCAACTCAAATCCATTTGCAATCGATCTCACTCTCATACCATGTTAAAACTATAAGAGAATTCAGTTCTGATTAGAAACTCCCAATAGATTTACAGATGCTGTCAAGCAGGGTGGACATTAACAATAATAAAACATAACTCACTCATATGTTGAATATGGACTTCTTAATTGCTATGCTAAGATTATCTTATTGTGTTTTAGATCATAAATTTAGATAAAGACTAGCGTAAAAACCCGTGCTATACACGAGCAAGTAATAAAATATGATAAACAATACTAAACATGTTAAAAATTAACTAAATGCTATGATAGTAATTTAGATGGGTATTTAAATAATAGATTTAAGTAATTTTACTATGTTTATATAGATATGCAGGACTAATTAATTTTTTTGAAATACACTCAATAGAATAAACTTAATTGAAAAAGGAAGAGTAAAAGTGAAAGTCCATAAATATAAGATAAAGATAAAAAAAAAAATGTTTAAATTTGAAGATGAATATAGAAAGAGAAAATTAGATAAATCTTCAAAAAAGGAATAAGCTCAATTGAAAATCAAGAGTGAGACTAGATGCTATAAATATAAGATAAAGATTAAAAAAAAAATCAAGTTTAAATTTGAGGATGAACTATAAGAATATAAAAAGGGAAAATTAAGTAAATTATAGAAAAATGAGATGGAGAGAAATTCAGTAAATATCAAATGAAAATTGAAAAAAAAGAAATCAAGTTGAAATTTAAAAATTCAAAAATAAAATAAGATAAATTTGAAAAAAAAAATCTAATATAACTCTAATACTAGAAGCACATAACATGGTAGTAGTTTAAAAATTGGATATGAGTGAAATGTTAACTATAATTTTTTAAAATTTGTAAAAACAAATCTCAAAAATAAGAACTGAAATGTAGTAAGTTAAAAATTAGATAAGAGTTAAACGGCAACTATAATTTTTAAAAATTTAAATTTTGTGTAGTTAAAAAATAAGCATTTATGATATCTTATTATAAAAATTTTAACTCTATTTTGTGTCTACTACTAATAATTTTTAACAGTTTTTTGTATTCTAAAGCTACTTAATTAAAAACAAATTCGAGGGATCACCTTTTTATTTCTTAATTATATTTTTTTGTCAATAACCTATAAATTTTAACAGTTTTTGTATTTTGAAGCTACTAAATAAAAAAAATAAAAA